ATATATAATTTATTGGAACAAAGCTGTAAAAATAAATATGAAGGTGAATTAAATGATAAAACATGAGGTAAAGTTCTTTTTGATTTATTTGGTGCATTTTAAATGTATTTATGTAAAGGTTTATTATTTATTTATGGTTTTATTTCTAATGATGTCAGTGTCGGTCCTCCGTACTGCAGAACATGAAGAGGAGGTTCAGAGACTGGATCAGGTGTGTTGGAGCAGGAAACATGTAAAACATGTAGGGCTGCGGCCCCCCAGGACCAGGATTGACCACCRCTGATTTAGATCCTATTTCCAGATTTATAACAGTTTGTTCATAAATAAGTCAGACATGACTCATATGATGAAGATGAATGAGTTTTTATCAGAACTGAAGATTTGCTGAGGTTGTCGGTACCACACTCTTAATTACTCGTGTGTAATTATTTATTAATTCAGTTATGATTGGAGCACTCATAAACAACACTTCTTCACTTCCTGACGTCCAGCTGAACTTCAGCGCTCTCTGTCTCTGCATGGTGACGTCAGGTGAAACCCTCTTATTGTCGTCTGCCTGTCCTGCCCCGCCCCCCTCTTTACCTACAGCGATGCTTTTAAGTGAATAATCTGTTCATTTTAATTAGTTAACTTKGTTAATCTCAGATAATTTACAGATCCAGTGACACAAAACGTTTTTACTTTAGAAATTATTTCAGCATCAGTCGGTGTTTCTCTTCATATGAATCATAATTAACCCTTACACTGCTGGAGGAAGTGAGACTCATGTCTGATCAGTAAATCTGTGATCCACCCAGTGGGTCTGCTAAACAAACTGAACGTGCATTAATCCTAAACCATTTACAGCTGCTTGTTAGAGCAACAGATTACAGCTGTTGAAGTAAGGATGCACAACATATCAGCATTGATGTCGTATCGACTGATATTGGTAATTTTTTAGAATATCGTATTAAAACCGGGCCGATGTTAACGTCAGATATTGATTTCCCACTTTTTCTCTTTATGTTCTGGGAGCTGGTTGGTTGAACATCTGTTTGATCCTGAGAGTGACACTGATGCTGCAGCAGGAATAACTGAAGTAGAGTCATGTCACAGGTCTGGTTCCGTTTATGGTATCAAGACAAGACCCAAGTGTGTTTGTGTGTTTATGTATAATGTAATTTGTGTGTTTGTGTAATATCAGTAAATATTGGTTATAACAGCAATAATTATATCAGATATTGATTTCGGCTGAAGTTTTCATCTCGGTGCATCCCTACGTTGAAGGCTTGTTCAAGCTGAGCTTACGGCTCATCATATCCTGGATTTATAAATCTGAATTCTGTGAAATGAGCTCCAGGTTTCCTGTCAGAAACATTTCTTTTAGGGAGAATATTATATTTCTGTGTCTCAGGCTTTTAGTTTCAAATATCCACAAGTCATTTATCCTCTAGACAGTTTTTTTTTACAAGGAGAAACTCACAAGTCAGACAGGTAGGGGTGTAAGAAAATATCGATACACTGAAATATCGCGATATTTCA